GGAGGGAGGGAGGGAGGGAGGGAGGGAGGGAGGAAAGGAGGGAGGGAGGGAAGGAAGGAAGGAAGGAAAGAAGGAATACAACAGAGAAGGACAATGTCTATACAATCTGATTAAAAAAATTCCCATACGTAAAATTAAGGAAGGAACTTTCAGAAGAGTATACAACTTGATACCCACAAGTTCATGAACAAAATTTAACTTTACCTTTTCAGAAAAATGACAGATAGGAAAGAGATCATTTTCTCTTCCATCATATTAGTTTTCAGATTATAATTTAATTACAACATTTCATCTCCCTTCTCCCAGGAACAAGATCTTTAACCAACTGATGAACAGTAACATATAAAGAATTCATAGAACAAATATTTTAACCAAAATATTATTACATAAAAGATAGCATGCACATGTTAATGATACAACCATGTTTAGTCAAACTAAAATTGAAAAGCTGAATATTTGAAAGCAAATGAAGAGAGGTGGGGGTTGGGATTCAAGCCATTAATCCCCATACTCTGGAGGCAGAGGAAGAGGGTTGTCTCTGTGCTAGGCCAGCCTGGTCTACAGGGCCAGTTCTGGGACAGCCGAGACAACACAAACTCTGTCTCAATGACAAAGAAAAGAAACATAATATCATGCTCTAACCCTGGCCATTAGTAAGTTGAAAATGAGAGTAAACTCACAAGATTCATACCTTTGCTCTCAACATTCTGAATTCGAAGTATTTCTCAAAAATAGAGGCTTGCTTTTAAACATGCATTTTTCAAGGATGTTCATTACACTGTGTTTATAACTGAGATACTGGAGGAATCTTCAGCCCAGAGATAAGAGCAGCTAGCTGCATTTGTGATGATGTACCTCAGCTCTCGGAAGTGATGAGCTCAACGTGGTACAGGAAATGCTCCTCTGGGGTGCTAAGTGGATGGGACACAGCAGAAGAAATTGCTTGTGTGAGGCAAAGTCCAGCCCCTTCCATGGAAAGATCAGACAGCCACAGGTGAATACAATCCCTCAGAGACAGGGACAGCCTCAATTCCATCTCTTCTGTGGTCACAGTATTTCCCAAGCTTTCTGTGATGGAGCTGTGATGATTTTAAGGGAAAATAAGAATTTAAAAATCTTCGCGCTTAATATCAGCATAGGTGCAACAGATTTGAATGCTCAAACACTGTGGAAAGAACAGATTGTTGAAATCATTCAAAGTAGTGGTTGTTCCCCTCAAGACTCATGTCTCTGCCCTTGGAAGCAATAATTTAACTAAAAATATTAAGCATTCAAAAACAAGTTCTGTAACTGAAAGTACAGATAAAACTGGGAAGAAAACCAGTGATATTTTCGATTGTACAAAAATCCATTTTTTTTAGACACATAGATGTTGCTGAAAGCTAGAGGGTCATCCAGACAAATAGTGTATGTGGAAATAGTTTTAGTAATAGGTGTAATGTTTATAATCTTAGGGAGATGTGTATCAACAAGTATTTCTGTTCTATAAGGATTCATCTATGAACTATATTAGAATATATTAATGTGACTATAATACACTGTGGGCATGTGTTAATGGACACACTTGTCATAAAAAGAATCTTAAAACACCTAAGTGTATGTCACTGACCCAGCTATGACCACTGACCTCCCGTGATACCAGATGGTATTGACGTGAAGTATCTTAGAGAAGAAAATCTTTAGTCAAAAAGTACAGTGGAGAAAAGGCTCAAAGGAATGTGGCCATTTCTTAGAGGTTTCAGATTATGAAGGCTTTTTACTTATATCTTCATTTTCCTGCATTTCTCACTGTTTCTTGAAGTATACTTTCATAAATAAAAATGTGTTCATTTTAATCAATGCATTTGTGTTATAGAAGTATGATAGTGAACCCCATTATTGTGTCCAAGTAACACAAAGTAGCAAATGTTTAATCTAAATTTTTAAATGTTTAATCTTTAAGTTAGAGAGAATACTGGTTGGTATGAAATACTAAATAATTTTAATATAAATGTAAAGCTCTAATATAGCTAGTGATTCCAAATGCCAGTGGTCTTTTGGACCACTTTGCTTCCTGCATGAAGAATTTTTTAAATGACTATATTAACCTCATTATTAATTAATAGGCACAATACCCATGTAGCAATTAATAGATATATAGTTTTAACAGTAATTCACAAGGGATAGAGAAATGGCTCAGCGGTTAATTGTGTTTGCTGCTCTTTCAGAGTGTCCAAGTTTGTTTCCTAGCACCTGTGTTGGACTGCTCAAAACCACATGTAACTCCAGGCCTATGAGGAACCCATGCCTCTGGCCTCCATGGACACCATGAGTACACATACCCAGACAAATAAACACACACACATATAATCACACAACAGACAAATGCACAGACACACAGACACAATTTAACAAAAACAGCAGTACACACTTGTCACTTACACTAGATATGATTGGGGGTCAACATATCTAAATAAGCTTGCAAAGTCCCCTGAATAGGAAGGAGTTTGAGTGGCCCATCCATTCTGAAGAATTAGTTTTTTAGGAGAATTCCTCTGCTAAGGCATTCAAATGAAAGGGCTGCCCATGACTTCAACTCACCAAGGGACATGGTTGAATGTCAGCCCTTAATAAGAAAACTAAATTGATGCCTTTCAGCCCCAGCAGGGGGCAGTGTAGAGAAGAGTGATGGAGACCCAGCCACACCCTCAGGAGAGGCATGTGACAGGATGGGACTGATGGACAGTTGGTACCCACAGGCTCACAGCATCTTCTCCCTATTGAATCATCTGTGTTCTTGAAAATATTGGCAAGATGAGTAAAACACTAAAGTCCACCTGTTGTCTGAAATCATTATGGAGCTGTATGTGCCAATGAGAAGACACGGACCCTTAGAAAGGCCCCATCTACTCCTTATGTGGCAGGCAGATACCATGATCAAGAAGGTGGCTCTACCAGGGTGAAGCTTACCAGTTACACCTGGGTGTGCCAAACCCTGGCCACTTCCCTAAATACAAAACAACCGACTGCATCGTTTGTGGTACTGGGGACCTGTGTTCCTGCTTTCCTCTCCTATAAATATTTTCAAAACAAAAAAAATACATCATCTAAATCTTCCAAGATGGACCATGCCATTTACGTTGAGAGTTCATGTGTGCAGAAAGCAGCTTTGGAGTGTGATGGTCTGATTTGGAGCCCTAGCTTGGCGATCCCCCAGTCTCTGGATAAAGAATCCTGCTCATCTTTACGATGGGTAAAAACCAGCAAAGATCGAAAAAAATGTGCAGTTTGAAGCTTAAACATAGTAACCCCGGATGACAGCCTTTGTGAGCCACGTAGTGTAGTATTTTATTTAAAGGGGGGCATCACGCACCTCTTAAGCTGCTACCTGCCTGGGACTGCGAATTGCAGAACTCCATTGCTCCAGCCATCCTGATCCATTTCAAAGGAGAGAATGACTATGTACACCTCTTCCAGAGCTGCCCAGTGTAAGTGAGATTTACCTTCATGATCTTGCCACCCTTAGAGGCGACACCCCTTCGAAGTCAGCCTTAGCCTTCAGCTGTGTAAAGGGCCAGATGCTGCAGATGGAAGGCTCTCTGTAATGTATGCCTCCATATCATTCCGCTGCCACCTCTGTGCTGACCCAGAGAATCTCACCTGAAATTGGAAGGAAGCTAACTGCTTTTTTATTTAGAGCAGCCAGATAGAAGGGTGCCCCCCAAACACCATTGCTGAGGGAAGTACCTGGGAAAATGGCTCAAGAAGAATAGGTTGGGCATCGGTGAATTGCAAATGAACTCATACATAACTCACACTAAACTACCTGGGAGTTAGTGACAGGAAGGAGGAAGTCATTCCGTCTGCTGACAGTAGTGTGCAGTCATAATTACAGCTGGCTCCTGCCTCGTCTTAAAATATGAAACCTTGGAGTTTTCTTTTCAGAGACTCACCCTGTGGCTTCTTCATAACCTACACTGAAAGTTACAACACAAAGCCCCAACTGGGTCTTAAGACAAGGAGGAGGGGGGACTGTGCATCTGATTAGCAATTAAAATAAAATGAAGAATGATGTACCATTCCTTCCCTTGCCCCTCCCTCACTTCCCTCTCTTCCTTCCTTGCGTTCTTCATCTTGAATTCAATAAATATTTACTCACTATTTACATGCTGTGCTTATGGGAATACAAATATGAAACAGAACTATCGTATTTCTGAATATAACACAAAACCGTAAGAAAGGAGACGCACTGGATTTATTATCTGTCTTTCAGGAGCTTTCAGAAATCCTTTCTATGGTGTATATCAGGGAAAATATATAAGAGTACAGGGAATAGTGGAATCTGATTCTCTCCCTAAACTGGCAAGAAAAGCAACTGAATTCAGGGCTAGTGTATATTTAAATCCATCAATTCGAAAAACATGTGTTCCCTGGATAATAGGAAATAAAATTAAGGAAGGGGTTCAGGGGTTGGTGTACAGTCTGTGGGAGTTTAAAAGAACATATCACATCCTGTAAATGTTGGTGAGCTCATGGTTCTGAGGAAACATGGAGTTTTTGTAGGACTGGAGTTAGGATAGGAGTCTTTTTCCAGCTAAATGGAAAGCAGCATAGAAGAAGATCCCATTCAAGGCACAATAGGAACTACAGGGGTGATGGGGACCTGGTTCTCACCTTCAAGAGGCATGTAGTCTGCATCTAGAGAGGAAGAGGGGTGAGAGATGTAGTCTTTCACAAAAAGATGACCGACCAATGAGGCCAAAGAGATAAGTCAGGCTACACAGGCAAAGATGCATGGACGGGAAGGTTATTCCTGCCACAGCCTTAAGGTTAAATGGATATGGGCAGGGGGGAGGGTAAATTAGGATTTAAAAAGGTGAATAGTTGAACCTGTGTAGATGTTAGAACCTGCGTTCAGTGTACTTGTAAGAAGCTGTGCGCGGTGCCGTATGCTCGCAGGCCCAGTGCTGGAGAGGTGGAGGCTAGGGTCTGCAAAGCTTGACAGCTGTCAGCTTAGTCACATGGAACTTTGGAGGTTTGAGTTAGAAATGCTGTTTAAAAAATATGAGGAACACCACCAGAAGTCGACATCCTTGGGTCTCCACATTTCCTGTATTCCTTAATGTACATATGCATGCATGTGCACATGTACACACACTGTACACAAACACAAACACAAGCACCAGCTGCATTTGTACACACACACACACACAAATAAGGTTTTGTTTGTTGTTGTTGTTGTTTAAGGAGAAATAAAGGTAGAGAAAAGCAAGGCACTAGTGGACACCAGGAACAACTTAAGTTGAACCAGGAGGTGTTACAGTGAGAAGACTTCCCCATGTACTTGTTCCCCCAGGTGGGTAGAGAGATGGGACCTGCATGTGGGAGAAGATTCCTGAGGCTTAGGGTGGCAGAGGGAGGATGGAGAGCAACTTGACAGATAGATCAAGTCCAACTTTGCTAGCTGCCACTGGCCCTCTCTGCCTGCTCCTGGCCACAAAGTTGTCCTTAGGTCTGCAGGCTGCTAATGCCGTGCTCAGGGGACAGGCTACCTCACCAGTGTTCCAAAAGCTCACAGGCTCAGGGGCAGGCTACCTCACCAGTATTCCATGCTCAGGTTGCTCCCAAAAGGTATGACTTAGCAAAGTCACAGCACAAAGTATATTCCTGTGCCCTGTACCCATTCTGTCTCCTAGGAAAAAGAAGGCCACCTCTGATCAAAAGCTGTCAGCACCCTAACCTCATATCAGGGGTCTTTAACACTGTTTTCTTCACGGTGTCACTTCATGGAACTCTAGAACCACAGCTGATTTCAGCCAGTCCTTGAGAATGGGTTCATTGAGCTGGAATGTAGCTCAAGCTGTTAGGATACTTGTCTGGTACCCGCGAAGCCTTGGGCTCCGTTAGCTGGCACATGTCTATAACCCTAGCCCTCGAGAGGCAGAGGTAGGAGTATCAGAAGTTCAAGGTTATTCATGGCTAAATAGAGAGTTCAAAACCATCCTAGAATAGCTGAGACCTTACCTCAAAAGCTAAAGAAAAGACAAATCAGAGAAGAAAATGAGGTACTGCCGGGGACATTTCTGTAGCGCAGCAGAACAACCCTGGCCAGCCCAAGCCTCTTTCCTTATGGTCATGCCTCTGTGCCTCTGTCACAGCTGAGTTTGCTGTATCTTTTGGACATGCACATCTCAAATGTTTGTCTATTGATAAGCAATAAAGAAGTTAGCATTGTATTCTCTCACTAGGAGTCTAACGAGGATCATGTGAGAACCGTAGCAATCAAAGTAATCCTAAGACTCCAGCTCCGACCACATCTGGGTGATCTTGTCGAAACACCAGGGCTTGCCAGAGAAAGAGCAAAAGAACACACACAATTTTATTTTGTTTTGTAGCCCTGCACACCTTGCTCATTCAGGACCATGGGAGAAAGGGGGGAAGAAGTATGCTGCGTAGGTATGAAAATGTCACAGACTATGTGGGAATAAAGCATTGAATCATACATTTCTGTAGCAGCTAAATGTGTAACATAACAATTATACTCACAGAAGTTATCTGAAGGAGCTTTCTTGATAGCAGATATACAAGCCCAGTTAGAAGATGAGACAGGTAAATAGAAACATTTGTTTCTTCAGTTCAGGTTTGATTCACTGTTTGTCTCAGCTCTGCCTTCCCCCAGTTATATACCAAACTCCTTCAGAGAGAACGGATTTCCCTTTGTCTCTTCAATAGAAAAAAAAAAAAAAGCAAGACTTCAACTTTTCCTCTATGTTTTTCTGTCCGGACATCACTAGAAAGAAAGCAGATTGATGCCCACCAGGCACAACGTAGGCAGCACAGGAAAAATATCATGGACAAGTAATTTTCCAGAATAAAAAATAAAATCAAAATACTCAATGAGGCAAGCTACAGAGCCACTGTGGCTTTGATCTTTACTTGTGTTTAAAACCTCACATTTTGAAAGAAATTCAGTGGACTACATTTATCTTCTCAAATTAGAATGTTTTATTCTCAGATTGAATTTTTAACTTTTTAAAAAGTACTTGGTCTGTATATTTAAAATACTCCTAAAATTCAAGAAACTTACTGCACAATCTTTCTCTCTTCTTTCTTTCTTTCTTTCTCTCTCTCTCTCTCTCTCTCTCTCTCTCTCTCTCTCTTCTCTCTCTCATTTCAAGAAATGTGGAAAACATTAACGAAAATTGTGTTGGTCTGTACAATTTTATTCTGTTAAAGACAGGTTTTATGATACATTTAGCCTTTTAAATGGCACTAATAGTCTCAGGGGACACATGGTTTTTCCTCTAGTGCAACAATTAAGTCCATTTCAATGCTATTTGGATACATTGAAACAATTCAGTCACTGTGCGCCTGCTCTCAGGTACCCACAGCAAACCCAGAGGGGACACCCAGCCTCACCTGAATAATAAAGTTTTAGCCAACTTCAGACATGTACCAAAGGATTTGCCTTTTCCGCATTCCGCTCGATTATTTTCCCCTCATTTCTTACAGAAGGGGTAATGAGACCTTGCACACTGCGTGCTGGTCAGAAGAGTGACTTGGTAATGAACATGATTAATCACAATCGCTCTTTCTCCTCCCCGTCTGGAGTTTGAAATGTGTTTCCCCCTAGAACCCAGCACGACTTCTTCCATTTATTTATTTTATTTTTTCAACAATCAGGTTAGACTAAAGACGGGGTGGGGGTAACATACGTGTGTGTTCTGATCCGGGGGTGAACGTGTATTTTGGTAGCTGGGAATATGTTCACAAGGAATATTTGCATGTTGCTCAATTATGAAGCTCAATTATCATCAAATTATCTCCGACTGATGACTGGGATGTCGGAGGAAGTAATTCAGTGAATTCCAGACCTGCACATTTAGCTCATACTTTTACCCTAAAGTTTAGTCACTTGGAGGCAAGCTGCTACCCAGGAATGTAGCTGTTTCTGCACCAAATCCCCAAGAAACACTATTCGCTTCCCTCGGACGTGAAGCTGGTCCGTTGAAAGATTAGAAAATCTGCTCACAAAAGTTCTTTTATTTTTTTAATGCAGGCATACGCTTTTT